ATCTGTGAGTTAGCCATGCCCTGACTTAGATCAGCCCAGAGGTTGTTTCAGGGTTTGATCTGTGAGTTAGCCATGCCCTGACTTAGGTCAGCCCAGAGGTTTCAAGATTCAATAAGATTAAAAGTTAAGATATTTTTCTCATATTCTTGGTGCCAGGGTACTAACCATGTATTCAATGAATCTTGGAGGTAGACTTCGGTCTTCAARATGCTTTGACTTGAACTCACGAATAGCCGCTGATCAAAATGATAATAATAATAATCATTTATTAATTATTATTTATCATCTTTGTTGAATAAAAGGAATATTAGTAGATAATGCTGCTAGTATAATAATTTTTTAGCCTCCTCTTCTTGGTTCTTGGTAGTTGACTGAAGAAGACTAAGTGTTAACAGGATCTTCTCTCCTCAATACAGATCCCATTTCGAGTTCACCTTCAATCAGTCCTTACTCGATTGCTTACAATTTTTTTCTATTATGGTGCATTGTATAATAAGGAATGTATGCACTATGGAACAATGTGTAGTTCCAGAAATTATCCTGACCCCCCCCCCCCAGAGGAATTTTGAATTTCCGAGGGTGGGGGGGAGGGGGGTGGGGGCAGAGACACAATAGACCCTTTGCCAAAATAGCAGCTGCAAATTCAAATGAGTTAAAATTAAACTAAGAGAAAAACCAATACCAGCCCTGGAAAGAGCACCTTTACTTGTAGTAACACTACAAAGATTCATTATGTCAGGGGTTAAATCGGCTGAGAAAACTCACATTGAAAATTGACAAATTTACAGACGTTTGTATGTCTGGGGGTATGGTGAATGGAGTCTGACTAAGGCCGAGCTAGGAGATTAATTGAATTATTCTATATTTTTATCGGCAGCAATCAAATGTAATATGTTTATACAGGGCCAATGAAATGTGTTGTTGTCGTCGTAAGAGAACTTGAAACTGGAGTATCCACTACTCCTTGAGGAAGACCAAGAGTTATTGCTAGTGCTCTCTCCTCAATCCCCTACTCCCTTCTCTATCACACAGGGACCCCAAGCTTGAAGCCTCAAAAGAAATCAAAAGAAGAGGTACTCACTCCTGTAACCCCTTTGGAAGTCTTGCATTTCTTCAATGCAAATATCAAAAATCTGTTGAAAAAATATATTAAGATCCTGCTTTATGGATGTTCATCGTTTTGCACTAGATACCTAGTATTAGATTTACCCTTATTTATTCTATTTTCCTGTTTTATTATTTTAAGTTACATTAAAACATATATCTTTTTTTTCCCATGAAAAATATTTTATTATTTATATTAATTATCTAATTTAGCTTGTATACTTTGTAATTAGTTTTTATAATTAGAAGGCCAATTGAAAATTATCTACGATAAATAAAATATAATCGTTAAATAAAGTTGTTATTATTATTATCATTATTATCGTGCCTCTACACCCTCGCCCGTTAATATACCATATTAGCAATATAATAATAATTAAATAATAATATATAATTAATATATATCACTGTCTGTGCTATTGCAGTTCAACCTGTATAGCTCAGCTCCTTCAATTTTAATTAATTGATTCATACATTTTAATTAATTTATTCGTACATTTTAATTAATTTATTCATACATTTTAATTAATTAATTCGTACATTTTAATTAATTTGTTCATACATTTTAATTTATTTATTCGTACATTTTAATTAATTTATTCGTACATTTTAATTAATTTATTCGTACATTTTAATTAATTTATTCATACATTTTAATTAATTTATTCATACATTTTAATTAATTTATTCATACATTTGTTTTGACAATCACTACTTCCCTCCCATTAACCCCATTCAATCATTGTTACATTCATTTGATCATTCACTCTGACATTATACAATATTCTTTTCCATCTCATTCCCTTAATATTCACTCATGCATCAATTCATCCCTTTTATTCAATCCCATTTCTTCTCCCTTTGTTACCTTCAGTTTGAGTTCCTCTCCTGTTTGAGCTGCAACTTGAAGCTGAAACACATCAAATGCGCAAAAATGTTAGGAACTAGATGAGTTGTTGGGAGTCCTAGTAAGATTTGTAAGGATGGGTGGGTCGAGGTGGGGGGGTGAGGGCTTACAGAACAGCAAGCACGATAGAAATACATTTAATTTCGCACACAGCCTTGTACTGAAACCTATGTGTGTGACTAGCAAATCATATCTCGGAAGTGGGCTATTGGTTGGTACAAAAATTGTAAATAAATGCCAATTCCATAGGAATCCCATGACTACAATCTACAGTCAGCACTCGTTAACAGTGGACACACTTGGGACCATCACTTGGTGTCTATAATAGCGAGCATCTGCAACTCCAGAAATGATTACAATTATTTCATTGATAATATTTTTTGCCAAGAATTTTGCTGCTGTCCACAACAGTTAGGTGTCCGTAATATCAGCATGTGCCATCAAAAAGTTATGAGGCGCCACCATCAAGCACCCCCCCCCCCTCCCCCACCTCCCAGCTAAAAAATGATCGGTCCCTTAATAAATCCTATCAATCATAGGAATAGAATATGAAATATTTGAACTGTGCTCACATTTTGATCCACCATTTGAAAGAGAAATATTGGAAGAGAAGTGTTGTAGAACCCTTCACCATCTGCTTCTGGTAGAGAACTGTTGTGCCAATCCTGACATGGTGCGAAGAAAAATACGTTATTGTCAGTATCATTTTGTGGTGTTGTATAAGTGGCAATGGGCCAAATTGGAAAAATAGTACGTATGGAATATACTGCACTTAATTTGTTATGCACAATAAAAAAATGTTGAAGGTAATAGAATAAACAATTTACTAGAATTCGGCAATATCAGCTACAATACCTTGCGATCAGTCTCAATTATTTTTCCCATCCAATCTTTGATATTGTTGGAAGTTGTCGTTATGTATCTAAAAAACAATACTACAATCATTTCTATTACTCCAACAACAGAAAAAATCATTGACAATAAGGTTGACAGTTCAACACACTTACGTTTCCACTAAATTCTTGTAGACAGATTTTGAAAGAAGAGGATCAAGACAGGCTACATCTACTTGGAGCTCTGGATGCATCATAAGATCTATACCCCTGGAATAGATGTTCACAATAATATTATATTTTTAGTACTTTTCCACAAGTGAATATAAAAAATCACACCCTCATTGGTCACAATTTACACCTCAAGCTACAGTATATTCACGTACAGGTGAATATGACTCGCACACATGTGCATGCTCGTTTGTCGATTTGTGCCTCTTGCAGAGATAAATAACATTTGAAAAAAAAACTCTCCCAATGTGCTAAAAATACTAAGACAATTATTTCCCTCAGGCTCAGTGAATATCGGGGGAAATTTACTTCACCTTCGGCAAATATATTGTTGAACACACCATTGTCATAATGGCTGATGAGCACACAAAACGAGGTCACCTAGTCATGTTGCAAGGCTTAGCAAGGTGCAGCTCATCCAAAATAAATGAGAGGTCAATTTGTATACTTTTTCCTATAAACACATTGTACATGCTTTTATATTTTTTATTGTGAACTAATGACCACGCAGGTGACCTCGTATTAATGTAAAATCTTACCCATATTCACTGATCCAGGTAAGTAGGCTGACGCATTCATTGGAGTCAAGACGCTGTTCAGTAACTGTTTTCTCTAACTGTAATCATCAACAGTAACACTTGATATATGATCGTATATAGATCAGTGTTTTTCATGCTTGACCTTTCAATACAGTAGGAATATTTGAACCCCCTACACCATGAGGAACTACACAATAATACCCCTCCTCAGACCCTCCCCACACCTTGGAAATCCCAATCCCCCTCCATGGGGGAGGTATGGATATTTTCTGGTACTACACAATATACCCTCCTCAGACCCTACCCACCCCTTGGAAATTCCAATTCCTCTCCATGGGGGAGGTATGGATATTTTCTGGTACTACACAATATACCCTCCTCAGACACTCCCCACCCATTGGAAATTCCAATCCCCCTCCATGGGGGAGGTATGGATATTTTCTGGTACTACACAATATACCCTCCTCAGACCCTGGAGCACTTACCATGGCAGACAATGCCTTGTGATACATTCTAACACATTTGTCAAATATGTCATAGTTTGGAGGAAAACATGGCTGACAAAGGCTCTGTTAAACAAAATAAAAAGCTCATTAATAATTCATGAAGGAAACACAAATAGAAATCACGACCATGAAGGAGGTTTTATATCTGATATAGATTTGTCTTCATTTGCATAAACTTTAACTTAGATTCTCTCTATCAAACTTGGCTCATTTCGTAAAGAATTCTGTACAATATGAGAACATACACCATGAGTTTTTTAAGCCGTTTAATAAACTTGCAGATTGTGTTTTATCGGGTCTTAACCAGCTTGGCTGAACCTCATGTTTTATACCCGATAAAACACTCCTGCTCGTCTATTAAACAGTACATAAAACACCAATGTTTTTATTTCAATCCCATGATCAATGCCATCACTGGTGACAGAGATAAATCTTCAGGGCTTAAAATAATGGTTGGTAAGACGCTGGTCATGGTGGCCGGCCAAATTAGTTCCAGCTGAGTCACACTTTGTTTATGGCTTAACATTACAGGTCAAAATGATCAGCAAGGCAAAGATTTGACCAGACAAGTTTCAATTCTGGGTGGACATTGTCATAATGGCTCAACTTTACTGGTCAAAATGACCRTCAAGGCAAAGATTTGACCGGACAAGTTTCAATTTTGGGTGGACATTGTCATAATGGCTCAACGTTACAGGTCAAAATGATCAACAAGGCAAAGATTTGACCGGACAAGTTTCAATTCTGGGTGGACATTGTCCGATGTCCGACTGTTATTTTAAGCCCAGATCTTTATTTATTYGTATCTTTTGAGTTATAGAAAAATTGAGTGGGGGGGGGGGGGGGGGGGGGAGTTGTATGGCATGATCACATGATCACATTTAGAGTAACTTTACCTTGACTATTATCAGGTCTTCCAGCACTTGTTTTCTTGATCTTTCCAGATGTTTAACAAGCCACATCTTTGCACTAAGACGATCTTCTAAATGCATTTCAAGACTTTCCAGCCTAATGAACCAATATAATGCATAATTATACAGCTTCTTATTAATCCCATATAGGTAACAGTCCAATTATTTTCTTAATTGGACAGGTCTCGTTGATATGGGATTAATTAGGCAGCTATATAATTAATAGGTAATGGGATTTCATGATTCCCAATCAAGAAATAATTAGACTCAAAAAAATTCCTCTGACTGACAAATTGAACTCGGCCTACAGCCTCATCCATTTGTCAGTCCTGGGAATTTTCCTTGACCAATTATTTCTTAATTGGACAGCATGGAGTCCTATTACATATACTAACATAGTCATGATGGTGTGGGATATAAAGTATTATTATATAGTTAGGATAGAATGTGCGCGCTTATTGGTTGAAAACTGTGCTTTATTAATGAACAGAGCTTAGTGCTGACGGCATCTGCGTGCGAAGTGCTTCTAGATCCTGTGACTGTCTTTCTTTTTGCGTAAATAAATTCAATACCGAAACAAAATTAGTAACTATACAATAAAACAAATAAAACAGCTTTTTCCCTGCTCGGTTCAGTAATAAAGCACTTAGGAAGCGCCGTAAGCACTCAAGAAGTGTGAGAAGCACTCGCTTACGGCTTGTTCTTCCCCTTACACTTCTTTTGTGCTTACGCCACTTCCTGCATGTATTATTACTGAACGGAACACGGAAAAATCTGTTTTATTTGTTAATTATTATATGCATAATTTATTAATAGTCAAACAAAAATTAAAGAATGGATGGGTGAATGGATGATGATCACAGTAAAAGTGTGGATGGATGGATGGGTAAATAGATTGGTGGATGAATGGGTGGATGGGTGGAATAGACGGATGAATGGATTAATTTATGTGTGTATTGACGGACGGACGGAGGAACAGACAGATGGATGGATGGGTAGGTGGTTAGATGGGAATGGTTAAATGGATGGATGGATGGATGGATGGGTGGATCGATGGATTGATGGATCGATGGGAAAATGAAGTGGCCAGTGAATGGATGGATGAATGGATAGGTGAATGGATGGATTAACGTGTCATAGAGTAGTGTAATGAACAAACAGATAATGGATGGACAGATAAACTCTGAGAGAAATATACGTTGATGAAGAAATATTTCACAACCTGTATGCAATAGCTCGTTCAAGGACATCAAAACATTTTTTCTTCCATTCTTTAGGACGTCCAGGGACAGAAAACCCAGTACTAGCCAGCTTTTCCTCTGCTCTTTTATCGGCTCTGCAAAACAAAAGCATTGAATAGAATAACTAGGATACAGATAATGTAAGGACAGTTATGATAGTAAAGATAGTTCTACGCTTGATCCCCTCACTCCCTCCCCTGATGACAATAGTCATTAATAAATGCTTAGAACACAAATGTATAGGTGCTATACAAGTTAGATATTATTATATATTATTAATAAATTCAACTTCAATGAGATCTTATAAATTATTAGTAGTTTTTGCAATATCAGTGGCTGTCATCTTTACAGTAGGTTATACACACAAGCCAAAAGCCATGCCTTATTGTAACTCTCAGAGCAATGCAAAAGTTGGTCTTGAATATAATTGCAGCAGTTGCAACATTAGGGCTGTGTTCTTTAGGTTTTATATATTAGCTAGAGGATAACAGGTCTGAGGTGGAAAAAGAATGGATCAGGTGTATAGAATACCTACCGTTCCTCTCTTTCAATGATCCTGAGTGCCGTAACAAGCTGATCAGGATCACTTCTCACTGTACTCAGAAACATCTGCATCACAATCCATAACTGCTTTCCTAACGTTTCCTGGTCAGGAAAAAAATTACATGAAATGTTGTTGCAAGAAACATCTCGGACAGGAGAAATTATAATGACGCTGAGGTAAAGACTGGGGTGATTTGACTTGGAGTGCATTTTAGGGCTGTTTAAAGGGACATATTGTAATAACAATAATAACAATAATAATAATACATTTTGACAGGATGACCATTTCAATCATAAAAAGTGCTATCAATATGGGTCCTGTATAAATAAATATGAAATCATAGTATTTTTTTATTTAATTATAAGTTGGTGTCTATTTTGTGGGATGGGATGGGATGGGATGGGA